ATATTTCAGTCATTGGATTAACGCCTTCAAAGGTAAGACCAGTGGAATGGTTATGTTCGAGCAAATTACCGATCCATTCCGTCCGTTTTCTTTTTTTTTTTATCTATCATATCAGTTACTATTTTTGTCTTCGATCATGCAAATCACACCCGCAAGAAAATGAAAAGTTCATGTGTACAGTGGGTCAGTTTTCACGCACAGATAGCTTACTGTTTAAAGACAGAAGCTTTAGTTGTCGCTCAATCTTATCGATCTCGTGATGCAAATCCTAACGTACTAAAAGGGATGAACTTTGAAGCCTGACGTTTTCGGATAAACAAAGTAAGATGTGTCATTTTTGGATGCTCAAATCCATCATTAGTTAGAATAGTGTGACGTGCCAAACCAAAATAAAGTCACTAAGTTTTGTTGGGATTTTTGGCTTCGATCATGCAAATCACACCCGCTAGAAAATGAAAAGTTCACGAAGACAATGAGTCCATTATCACGCAAAGATAGCTTAGCGTTAAAAAAAAGAAACTTAGGTTGTGCTGTGATCTATCTTGTGATGAAAATCAAACCTTTCAAAGGGGTAAACACTAAAGCCTGACATTTCCTATTAAAAAAAGAATAACTCTTCTCATTTTCCATGTTCAACTACATCATGAGCGATAAAAGTGTGACGTACAAAACCAAAATACTGCGTTCTTATTGATTGAGTGGAAGGGCCGGAAGGAAAATTAGTTCGATAAGCATTTTAACATAAGACCACTAACCGTTTTCAATATGCAATTTTATTTCGAGTAGCCTAGAGGGGGGACGGGAATAACCTAAAAAACACACGAGAACTAAATACCTAAAACACTCTGACAGCGGAAGTTGAAGGTTGAGAAAAGTCCTGAGTGTAATTCATTATTTTTATTGTTTCATTTTCAAAGCAACAGCCACATTGTCAACATCTTGGTAAGTGCGATTGAAAATCTTTCCTAGTCACTCGATTTTTATCAGCTTTAGTTATTTAGTAACTGTAGAGAGATAAGGCTCTTATGGCAGAGCCTAGTAGCTGCTTTTTCGAGCTTTGTTTTTGCAATATGTAGTTATGTCTTGTTTCGAGCGTTAGCCCTTCATTAAAGCGGTTGATGGCGCGATTGAATCGCCACCACAGTGAAATAAATTCGTTATTAAGCGGTTTTCTCAAATCTCTGTAGCTTTCTACAGTATAATTTATCCTCATTAACTAATGTTATTGAGTATCGTTCAATTTGAGAAATTGATGATCATACAACTAAAATCAGACCTTTATTTATGTTGTGGACTGTCCCTCGCTGAAGGAAATCCGTGGTGCTTGATCACGTGGTTTTCCAGTGGCTATGACTCTACTTCAGCTATCAACTTGAATCTGTTTAGGAGGGTTGAACGAACGATTCAGAGATCGCGCTAGATTCGAAATGCCATATTTCTACTTGTACACAAGCGTTTCATTGTCGAGATACCCTTCTCTTAAACTTTTGGATACTAAGGGCGGTTTCTACGGTACATATTTTTCTAAAGCCGTAATCTGTTTTTTTTTTTCCGTTTAAGCGCCAGAGTCTCGCACAGGAAGATAAGTTGTGAGGCTGCGCGCTCACGGGAGAGATGGTTTAATTTTCTCAGAGGAGTGAAACTTTCTTAAATTCACTGTTATTGCATTCATAGTATAAGCGTACCTTACCGTTGAACGGATACTTTATATCTCCACCGTTAAATTTCTTTCTTCAAACCGTTAAGGTTTTATACAATATATTTCAACCTCAGTAGTTAAGATATTGTTAGGCATTGTTTAATTTGAGAAACTTATGGTTTCAGCAATCACGTGATCAAAAACTAACATCAATCCCATATTAAGACATATTCATAATGCAGAATGAACTTTACTGATCAGTGTCAGCAGAGGTGGTCCGAGTTCACGTCTCGAGAAAAAGCAACCGATTAATTCATGAAAGCGTCACGGGTTGTGTGACTTGGCGTTAAGTTACGAGCGTTGAACTCGTTATTAAGAATAGAATGGGGAGCGAAATATGGTCGATTTATCACGAGAAATATTTCGAGAAATCAACATTTAACACGTAAAATCAATAAAAGTACACACATCTTGTGTGTCCATATCAGTTTCTGACGATTTCTGCTGTTTTAAGCTTACTTTGCCATCACTGTTATTCCCATCCCCACAGTGACACCTCGCATTAATCGAGCGTCCCAATCAACCAAGCAGACAGCTTTCCCCATGATAGGTCTGCAATTCCTAATCCATAATAGGAATGCACGGTAGAAGCGACACCAGGATCGTACACTGTGCATGCTATACCACTGGAACATACCACAGAAACCTTTTTTCCAGCCGCTTGAAGACTGCTTATGATTTCCCTTACAACAGTAGACTTACCAGTTCCCCCTTGGCCAGTCACCAAAAAGTTATGACCCTCACAAGCCAAGCGTACTACCTCCGCCTGTCCGTGCGATAAGCGAACGCTCATATTGACGAAATGCCAGTAACCACCAAACTACTCTACTGAATCTTATGGAGAACGAGTTGACAAAGGAAGAAAAAATTATGAAATAACATAATGAACATCACTTGACGATATGCGTGCTCAAGGGATTGGCTGAACTAATCGAAATTTTATTGTCCTTTACAATGAATTTCCGGTGACTAAATAGACATTAACACCAACATAACTGTAAGAGGGTAGATTAAGGGTAATTCGGTCAAATCTTGCGGGCTTTTCTTTTTATCCAGAAGTTTAGTGACACCGCCTTGGAAACTAAATGCAATCGACGTTAGGGCATCATGTGGACAATTATATTTACGACACAGCATCTAAGACTTCACAAACAACGTGCGTGTTAATAAAAGTCAATTTCACGTGGCGAAATATCTGCCCTTGCCATGAATTTCAAAAGCAATCTACGCGTAGGAAAAAATAATATCTATATCGGATTCCGACGTCAAACTTGCGAAAAGCTACAATACCTAAATATTTATCTTAGGTTCTCACTTGAAAATGTGTTCTGTATTAATACAAGCTTTTCGCCCGTGATTTGAAAATGGATTAATCGATCCTCAAAATGAAATGTTAGGTTATTCACGTTGAACCTTTGTCTTTGTTTACTCTTTCATGTTTTGCGTCGCGGTCTCTTCCCCTTCGACAGTTTTGTAGAGAAAATAATTCAAGCTTTTTAAGCAAAAATAGAGAAAAAAAAATGTCTTGTATTATTCATGAACAAGAAATAAGGATGCCTAATCCTGAGGAGTTTCATTACATATACGTTTCGACGGCCAGAACAAAAAGTTTTCGAGTTTCCTCACGTGATTAGTAAAACCGTAAGTTCTGTTTCTTTTTCAAGAAAAAAAAGAAGATCAAAGTTATTTATTCCCAACAGTCTCACACCAGAATGAATCAGTGAGCGAGTGAATATTTGCATATCAGACTTTCCACAGTAAACCCATTTCTCCGTATCGCGTAGCCACAAGTTAACAACATGATATCAAATCATAGTTTAATGCCGGCCATCAGGGAAACTTTTGTGAAATAGATTATTATTAGAATTTCAGCTAAAGGTTTACAAATGTTTTGAGATGTCAAAAAAAAAAAAAAAAAAAAAAACAGAATCCGGTTAACTTTACTGAATTCGTTTTACTCAAAAAGCCTTACGTAGGTCAACATTGTTTCGTGCTTATTATATCAGAATATAATTTTGCGTGAAAAACAAAAAATTATTGAGTACATAAACAGCAACTCCTCCTGAGAATATTGGAAAAGAAAGCACAAAAATTGGAATAAATCTCCCGTAACCTGGGATAGCTGTTTTTTTTTAATGTCAAGGAAAAACTGGATAGAGTATTTTTCTTCTTTTTTTTTCTATTTAATTTATCCATCTAAAAGTCTTTTAACTCTGTTCCCTTCGAGTTCTTGTCATTATTTACTCTGTCGGGGTCTTTCTTCCTGTAAGAAAAAATTTTAAACAACCCAATTTATTATTACCTCAATTAATATTTTGGATATAAAGCAAATACCATTATACCAAGCACAATATGTAAAAATAAGTGGCTATTACTTGTATCTCATTGGTAGAGAGGCACCTGTGAGATTCTATATTTTACACCAGAGAGCGAAGATAGTAACTCACCAAAAAGGAAAAAAAAAGTGTGTAGATATACATATATATATCTTTATCTATCTATATATATATATATATATATAGATAAAGATATACATTAAACTAGCCTGATGCTCAAGGTAACAAAGGATCCCCATCCAGTCAACGACCAATAAGTCATAGCCATCTTCACATCTAATTTAACTTTAATTTATGAAATACCTGTTCTCACTGAGTCTTGCCGCTGCTTGTCAAACTCGAGTCTCACATCATCTCCAATCAGCGTAAACGACGCCCACAGAGACACTTTGTTCAAGCCGTTTTTTCTCATCCACTTCATGGCCTGATGAAGGGATTCACTGGCACTTTCTCCTTCAATGAGGTGTTCGTAGAACCGACTCATCAGCTTCTCTGTTGCTGAGTCTGGAATGGCCCACAGCGCAACCAATACAGAGCGAGCACCAGATCCTAAGAACGCACGGGCAATTCCTATAACTCCTTCGGCTCTTATCTCTCCACTTCCACTGTGACAGAAGCTAAGTACCACCAGTTTAGCTCTGACTTTCACTCGTGAGACATCAGCCATCGTCAACATGTAAGCTTCCTGCGGTGGGATAGCGTTTCCACTGTTGGGAGTAGGAATGAAGGAGAGTGCAATTTCTCCTCTTTAGGCGTTACCATGAGCAGCAAAATGTATCAAGCTCACTGAACTTATTCGCTCAAGTACCGCCTGCTTCGTTGCTTTCTCTTCTATCAGAGGCGGAACACCCACCAGTCGTCCGACCATCTCCGCTTCTTTTCTTGCACCTGGCAATGGTTGCAGCCCATCAACCTTGGGATTGCCTATAATCAAGGCACCAGTGTTGCTGTGATAGTCCTCTGGACTATCTTGAATGATCTTTAGCGTCGTCAAACTTCTCGGCCATTAAGTCTGATAGGCCTCTAGCTCGACCCAACTCCTCAACATAAAGAGCATCCCGAGCATTTCCGGTGTCACAAAGCAAAGTACAAAGCAGCTTGTAGGGGAACATTCCTGTGTGCTCCAGAAATGATGTTTTGAACTGATCATTGGCGCCCAAGAAATATCTCAGCTCCTCATACTTTTCAATGCACATATGGAGACACAACAAGGAGTCTTTGATTTTATATTGATATAAATACAAAACGGCGTAACCTAGAAGGATATCAAACTCTTTTCTTCCATCTCCAATATCTCTAAATATCCATAAAGCTTTCTCCAAGCATACTTCCGAAGCTTCAAAATCACCAACAGTTCTAAACACAATTCCAAGGTTTCCGTAGTCAGTTGCCTCCCCTTCTCTGTGGCCAATTTTAGTTCTGATGACAAGCGCTTTTTGGTGATACTCTTCAGCCTTGTCGTATTGACCAAGCGACCCAAACACAGTACCTAGGTTTCCATAACATGATGCTTCCCCTCCTCTGTCGCCAATTTCAGTTCTGATGACAAGCGCTTTTTGGAGATACTCTTCAGCCTTGTCGTATTGGCCAAGCGACTCAAACACAGTACCTAGGTTTCCATAACATGATGCTTCCTTTGGTCTGTCGCCAATTTCAGTTGTGATAACAAGCGCTTTTTGGAGATATTCTTCAGCCTTGTCGTATTGGCCAAGCAACTTAAACACAGTACCTATGTTTCCGTAGTTAGTTGCCTCCCCTTCTCTGTCGCCAATTTCAGTTCTGATGACAAGCGCTTTTTGGTGATATTCTTCAGCCTTGTCGTATTGGCCAAGCGACCCAAACACAGTACCTAGGTTTCCATAACATGATGCTTCCTTTTGTCTGTCGCCAATTTCAGTTGTGATAACAAGCGCTTTTTGGAGATATTCTTCAGCCTTGTCGTATTGGCCAAGCAACTTAAACACAGTACCTAGGTTTCCGTAGTTAGTTGCCTCCCCTTCTCTGTCACCAATTTCAGTTCTGATGACAAGCGCTTTTTGGTGATATTCTTCAGCCTTGTCGTATTGGCCAAGCGACTTAAACACATTACCTAGGTTTCCATAACATTATGCTTCCTTTTGTCTGTCGCCAATTTCAGTTGTGATGACAAGCGCTTTTTGGTGACATTCTTTATACTTGTCGTATTGGCCAAGCGACTTAAACACAGTACCTAGGTTTCCATAACATGATGCTTCCCCTTCTCTGTGGCCAATTTCAGTTGTGATGACAAGCGCTTTCTGGAGATACTCTTCAGCCTTGTCGTATTGGCCAAGCGACTCAAACACAGTACCTAAGTTTCCATAACGTGATGCTTCTCCGCTTCTGTCGGCAATTTTGGTTGTTATGGCAAGGGCCCTCTCAACATATTCCTTTGCTTTTAGGCTTTCGCCAAGTTTATAAAGCATAATTCCATACTCTCTGTATAGGTCAAACAGTTTCCTTCCGTATCTTTCCGCATTTATGTAGTCAGAGATATGACGATAAGCGCTGAAAAGAACGGTATAGATGTCGCTGTAAAATTGTAGCAGTGCTGAATCAAATTGGTCTTTGCTGTTTTGATTGGTGCCATTTAACAAAATCAAACATTCGCTGCATATCTCAATGGCTTTCTGAATGCGATCTGAGTTGAGCAAGAACAGGGCAACAAATAAGGCGATGCTCATGAAAGGTGTCATGGCCTCTGCTGTTAGGTTTCCATTGCAATCCTCTCCTGTTATCAGGGAAACATTATTTTTAGTAACACAATACTAAATGGTCGATAATCTGGATTAATAACGAGTCACTTCAAACAGGAACACACATGTTAAGTTACAAAAACGGGCTGGGTCGATTACACCCGGAAAGTATTTGTAACAAGCTGAAAGTGTTAGAATTCCCAATATCCACTTAAAAACAAAAAAAAAGTGAAGAAGTCGGTTGGTCACCTTTCAAAAAAATAAATTTCTTAGAGTTTTTGTTGTAATATTCAGTTTTTTCTATCTTTGTCCACATTTTACTTAAGTGATAGACAGTTGTGCCTGACTTAAACTACATTCATATTTGAAAATCATTTGATATCAAGCTTAGAGGTCGTTTCAAAAAGTTTCATTGTTTCTAAGAATTTGTAACAGGATTTGTGATCGAACTAAAAATAAAATATAAGTTCTAGTTTCTCCATTCTTAGTTTATTGATTTTGTTATACCGGCTGTCAAAAGGTATTTGCAAAACAGAGCCTTAGGATCACTGAATTTTATTTCTTATTCATGAATAATACAAGAATGATTAATGAGAAAATTGCTCTAGTTTTCTTGAGAACTATTCGACAGTTTAAATAATGTACCGTCCAAAGTGTCTGTACTGGAAATTCTCTCGCTCGATTTTATTGAAACATCGTTCTTTTGGTTCATTACCGTTTTGTTAAAGTGCAAAAGAGATAATCACAGATGTAAGTTAGTGTTAATTTTACTTTGAGCACTGATTCCGAGTTAGCATTCCCCGACTTTTAAGCGTTTAAATTTTTAGCCCGAAATAAGACAGATAAACCTCTAACTACAGTTTACTTGGAACTTTCCTGACATTCCTCAATATTTAAAAATTGCAAAGATTGTTCATTTTAAAAGCAACGAGCGCATTTATCCGATGAATGTCCCTGAAAACGAATATTTTTTTAGCAGATGAGGATCATTAATAAGATGCGAGACCACAAAGGTTTGATATGATCGCCTTATAACAAATTCATTTAACTTCGGTGGCGAATTTTACACAACGTTACAGTACTTTAAAGTGACAGGACAAATATTAACCGGGAAAACAGGACTGATTCATTCCAGGCTTTGCCATTAATTAAAACATTACTCATGCAAAATTACTCTAAATAACAATATTCTAGTGCTATTTACTTGGTACATGACAGAATGCTGGATATCTTTTTACGTGTTCTTACCAAGTTGTCGACTTCGTGGTTGATGCTTTTGAAAGTGAAACGACAGAAAATACTTAAATGAAAGACAGTTGTGACTTTTCCTTATTTTCCGAAACCTCCGCCTCTTGACTTACCTTAACCGCGACTATTTTGTGATTCAGGTAAGAACACAAACTTTGCAAATCAATGATTTTTCATCGCGAGTATTCAAAGAAGCAAGCAAGGAATGTTATCAGTATAAGATGTAGTTTCCCTTTTCTTAGTTTTTCGTTTTTTTTCTTTTATTTCGACCGTCAAAACGTTTATGTAATGAGACTCCTTAGGATCAAGCATCCTAATTTCTTGTTCATGAAAAATACAAAATCGTTGTTTGTATTTTGACTCACCTTACGAGCTCGTCAAATACGGACACAACTCGTAAAAATACTCAGCAACACTACACACCAAAACCTCCAATAAGTTATTTATTATCCAACTGCTTTTTTTTCCGCTGAGTCTTTCAGCTCATTCCTCATAAGGCGGGAAAAGCAAAGCGGAGAGAGAGAAGCGTATTGTGCGCAGCCGACTGGTTAGCCTGGTTTTTTTTTTCAGTACAAAATAACCAACGGTCCGAATACACGTATAATATCGTAGGATGTTTATACTCTATTCGCGCGTTATTTATTCTCTACTTTGTGCAGTTGGATAATAAACCTCAGTACCACAGCGTTCTGGAAACTTTCCGGACATTCTGCAATATGGCAACATTTGAAAAGATTGTTCTGGCAGTTTATTACCAAGAAATGAGCTTACTTATCATGCCAGAGTCGCTAAAATCAAACCTTTTCATAGTTGATGAGGATGATTGGTAAGATGTGAAGCCATAAAGGTTTAACGAAGTCGCTTTGAAACAAATAAATTTCACTTTGGCTGCGATTTTTGCATTACATTGCATGACTTGATAGGCACAGGACAAATATTAACAAAACAGCATTCATTTTAGGCTTTGCCATTAAAACGTTACCCATGCAAAGTTACTCAGAATAACAGTAGACTATTACTAATTCATTTGTAGACGATAGAAAGCTGTATACCCTTGTATTTAACATGTCTACTCGTACTCACCAAGTTGTGGACTTCGTAGTGGATGCTTTTGAAAGTGAAAGCACAAAAACAATGAAACACAGTCGGGACTTTCCCTACATTCCAAAACATTCGCAGTTGAACAACAATTACCGTGATTTAAATACATGACTTTCATATATTCACAGTCGTTTAATTACCGTTACTGTTTTGTTATTCAGATGAAAACACAAACGTTCATAACATCCTGAGGGTACATTTTTTAGATGTTAAAACCATTCTTCACGATTCTTTTTTTTTAAACACCTGAAATCGTTTGTTAGTAAACCTTTAGCTGACAGTTTGATATAAATCTAATTCACAAAAGTTTGCGTGATGGCCGGCATGTTAACTTTGCCTTTGAATGATCAATTTCCTTTAGTTCCTTACAGAGAATTATAACATCTTTCTACGTGAGCACGCGGTGTCAGATATTGACCTCTCTTCTATCAGTTTCCCAAATTATACAATGCTTAACAATCTTAGCTGATGAGGTTGAAATATACCGTATGAAGCCATCAAGGTTTGAAGAAAGCAATTAACCGGTGGAGATATGAAGCATCCGTTCAACGGAAAAGTACGCTAAAACTATGTATGCAATAACAGTAAATTTAAGAAAGTTTCAGTTTTTCTAAGAAAATTAAAACATCTCTCTTCGTGAGCGCGCAGCGTCATGACTTATCTTCTTATGCCAGACTCTGGCGCTTTAACAGAAAACAAAACAGATTACGGCCTTAAGAAAATTATATACCGTGGAACCCGCCGCTGGTGTCCAAACATTTAAGTGAAGGGTATCTCGACCATGAAACGCTTGTGAACAAGAAGATAACGGAAATTCAATTCGAATCTACCGCGATCTCTGAATCGTCCGTTGAACCCTCCAAAACCAAAGTCAAGTTAATAGCTAATGTAGATCATAGCCACTGGAAAACCACGTAATGAAGCACCACGGATTTCCTATGATATCAGCAAGGGACAGTCCACGACATATATAGAGGTCTGAATATCAATTTCTCAAATTGAACGATGCTCAATAACCTTAGTTAATGAGGGTAGATAATATACGGTATAAAGCCACAGAGATTTGAAATAGTCGCTTTAGAAAGGATCGCAGTGGTGGCGATTCAATCGCGTCATCAACCGCTTTAATAAAGGACTGACGCTCGAAACGTGACATAACTATATATTGCAAACATGCCACAGACCATAGCAGGTACTTTTTTTTCAATTTTTTTTTTTCACTGGAATGACCTTTAAACTTAACGCTTGTTTATTCTATTTTTATTTTATCTTTTTCAGTTACTTGGGTAGTGGAAGGTTCCATCTAGAGGCTGTCGTGATTGCTAACCCATCTACACCAGCATACAGGTACACAAAGAGAACTTCAAGAGGCAGATTTCTTTACGCGTAACCAATTTCCTTGCCTTGCCTAACATGTAACTTCATATTGACTCAATTGGTTGCAGTGCTCAACAGTTAGAGAAGCAGCACAGATTCAGCCGTCATTGAAGCCTGATTTTTTCAGACCACTTTCTTGTAATTCTGTAGATAAAAGTTATCACTTTTTCGATTACAAAACTGTTTGTCTCTAGTAAAAGCATACTGTCTGTGTGGACAGAGTGCGATTCCCGTCTGTTCCAGAGTTTTCCATATGCCCTCACTAAGACAGACCCCTTCCGCCTTGTACGCTTTGGATTGTTAGATATTGCATACCTTACTGGGCCTTTGAGACAAACAACTTTGAACTAAAATTCTCCTGTACTTTCGCTTTCATCGCAGATACGATTCCCCTAGCAAAGTGTTTTCCAGGGAATATTACGATATTGATGCCATGTTTCAAGCGAGGAAAGACGCCATAACTACAGCGTCAAGAGCTAAGGAATTTAGACTCATTCTAAGTACGTTAGGGAGGCAAGGAAGTTCAAAGGTGCTAGTGGTATTGTATACAGTTAAATGTGAAAACTTTATAAGTAAATATACTTTTTGAACTGGTTATTATTCATATTATCATCTTTTCCAAATAGCTCATAAAGCAGATTTCATTGATCCTCTTTCACTTTTATCTGCAGAATTTAGGACAAAGATTCAGTACGGCAGGCCTGGAATATGTATTTGTGCTCATGTCTGAAATATTTCCGGGTAAACTTGGATTGTTCGAGGACGTGGAAACGTAAGTTGCTTTTCTTGTTAAGATGTGAAACTGCTTTCCGTCGATAAGATAAGATAAGATAAGAACCGTCACAGGAGATGAGAAGTAATAATACTAGAAAAATCTTGCCTTAATTTGGCCATACAAGTCATTTAAATAATGAAAAAGTTGTTTATTGATTAACTTGTCAAATACAGCGATACACTAAAATAAATGGATGTTCTTCAATATAAATGTTTAAAATATGAACCTTTCCTTTACAGGTCAATAAATGCAAAACCTACATAATTTATATATTTCTCAACATTCGATAATTTAGAATGACTAATTTTGAAATGTTTTTCGGCCAAAATTTCGTTTTTTACAAATTGCTGGTGGATTTTTGTACATTATGAACCTTAGGTAACCATTAAAAATTGAGTTTGAAACGATGAGTCATTTGAAATGTGATTTTAAAAGATGCAGGTTGTTCTAATGGATTGATAGTTAATACTCAACTGCATTTGTGCAAGTTGGTGCTAGA